TTAATAATGATCTTACCGGTTTTACTGAGCACACTCTAGTTGGGGACGCTCGGTCACCAATCCCACCAGACCATCAATGTGTGCGCCGTGATAGGCTTCCTTCTCAACAAGCAATCAGTTTAAATCATATACTAAATGTATCATCGAATTCCCTCGTTCCTGAATTCTAATTTGACTGGCTTTGAGATACTTCACTATAAAAGTGATACAGACATTGGCATCATTAATCTCCGAATATCGTAACATTTTTGCACCTATAAGTACTGATTGGTCAGGATCCTATCCTTTAAACAGAAGTCAAAATTTAATTCAAATAATACCAGAACACTTTCCATCAAAGCACAGATTTCAGTAGTGTCCCGTAGTTTTTCTTGTCGAAAGTATAGTTTTTGACAAAGTGTATCGCATCTCGCACTAGTATCAGTATTGTACCGATGTTTTGTGAGGATCCCCACACTGTCGCGCGTACATTTTGCTTAAGTACGTTATTGAAGCACTTACGCCTGTTACTCCTGATGGAGCATAGGCCACCGACCAGTATTCTCCAACCCACTCTGTCCTGGGACTTCTTTTCTAATTCCATCCAATTCTTGTTCATCTTTCCCATGTCTATCTCCATTTCCCGGCGTAATGTGTTCTTTGGTCTTCCTCTTTTCCTTTGACCAAGAGGATTCCATGTGAGGGCTTGTCTTGTAACGCAGTTGGGTGCTTTCCTCAATGTGTGTCCTACCCACTTCCAGCGCTTCTTCCTAATTTCTTCCTCCGCTCGGATTTGGTTTGTTCTTTCCCACAGTTGGTTGTTGCTAATAGTATCCGGCCAACGGATCCGAAGTACTTTGCGTAGACAACTGTTAATAAATACCTGTATCTTCTGGATGATGACTTTCGTAGTTCTCCAGGTTTTCGCCCCATACAGTAGAACTGTCTTGACATTTGTATTAAAAATCCTGACCTTGGTGTTGGTTGACAGTTGTTTTGAGTTCCAGATGTTCTTTAGTTGTAAATATGCTGCTCTTGCTTTACCGATCCGCGCTTTCACATCCGCATCAGATCCACCGTGTTCATCAATGATGCTGCCCAAATACGTAAAGGTTTTTACATCTCCCAAAGCTTCTCCATTAAGTGTGATTGGATTGCTGCATTCTGAGTTGTATCGGAGAATCTTGCTTTTCCTTTTGTGTATATTGAGACCTACTGCTGCTGAGGCTGCTGCCACACTGTTCGTCTTCTCCTGCATTTGTTGTTGCCTTTGGGATAGAAGGGCCAGATCATCTGCAAGATCTAGATCATCCAGCTGCATCCTAGATGTCCAATGTACCCCGTGCTTCCCTTCAGGTGTTGATGTCTTCATGATCCAGTCGATCACCGGGAGAAATAGAAAAAGGTGAGAGTAAGCAACCTTGCCTCACACCGGTCTTCACTTCGAACGATTTCGCCAACTGTCCTCCATGCACGATTTTGCAGTTTAATCCATCATATGAATTCCGTATGATATTGACTATCTTCTGGGGCACATCGTAGTATCGAAGAAGCTTCCATAGTGTTGTTCTGTCCACGCTATCAAATGCTTTTTCGTAGTCAATGAAGCTGATGTAGAGTGATGAATTCCATTCAATTGATTGTTCCACAATGATCCGTAGAGTTGCGATTTGGTCTATACACGATCTATCCTTACGGAATCCTGCCTGTTGGTCACGAAGTTGGGCGTCTACGCAGTCCTTCATCCTATTTAACAATACCTTGTTGAAGACTTTACCCGGTATTGAGAGAAGAGTGATGCCTCTGTAGTTATCACACTTGCTGAGATCGCCTTTCTTCGGTATTTTGATCAGAAGTCCTTCTTTCCAGTCTTTTGGTACTTGTTCCTCATCCCAAATCTTATTGAAGAGAATGTGGAGTATCCTTGCAGTTGCCGCTATGTCTGCTTTTAGTACCTCTGCTGGAATGTTGTCTGGTCCTGCTGCTTTGCCACTCTCAATTTGTCTGATGGCTATGCTGATTTCTTCAGTTTTTGGTGGGCCAACCTTGATTGGGAGGTTCATGGGTGCTGCTTCGATGTTGGGTGGGTTCAGTGGGGCCGGTCGATTCAAGAGTTCTTTGAAGTGTTCTGCCCACCTGTTTTGTTGCTCTTCAATGTTGGTGACTACCTCGCCTTCCTTGCTTTTCACGGGTCGTTCTGGTTTGCAGCGATTTCCAGAGAGTTTCTTTGTCGTGTCATATAGTTGTCTCATGTTTCCTTCTCTTGCAGCCTTCTCCGCCGTCATTGCTAGATCTTCCACATATTTACGTTTGTCGGTTCTGATGCTCCTCTTCACTTGTTTGTTTACTTCTGTGTTCTCAGCTTGTGCCTTGGCTTTTTCTGCTCTTGTTCGACTGGTGTTGATTGCTGCCTTCTTGTTCCTTCTTTCTTCAATCTTATGCAACGTATTAACAGTGATCCATTCCTTGTGATGGTGCTTTTTGTGACCCAGGACCTTATGACATGTTGAAGTGATTGCCTCCTTGATCCCTTTCCAGTTGCTCTCCACAGTAGTTCCTTCTCCACTGAGTAGATCATGAAAGGCCTGGAACTTGTTGCTGAGGTCTATCTTGAATTTGTTAGTATCCTGGAGAAAGGCCGTATTGAACTTTTGTGATATTATCCGCCCCATTGTCCAGTGCTTCTTGAGTTTCAATTTCATCTTGACGACCAGTAAGTGATGATCTGATGCTATATCAGCTCCTCTCTTGGTTTTCACGTCCTCTATAGTCCTCCTGAACGTTTTGTTGATGCAAATATGGTCGATTTGGTTTTGTGTAGAGTGATCCGGTGAAGTCCATGTGGTTTTGTGTATGCGTTTATGTGGGAATATGGTGCCGCCTATGACCAGCCTATTGAAGGCACATAGATTTGCAAATCTCTCACCATTTTCGTTTCTTTCTCCCAGTCCGTGTCGTCCCATGATGTCTTCATATCCAGTGTTGTCCGTTCCAACCTTGGCGTTGGAATCTCCCATCAGAATGGTCAGGTCCTTTCTTGGGCACTTCACGATGATTGACTGCAGCCTATTGTAGAATTGATCTTTAGCGTCTTCATTGTGGTCGTTGGAAGGTGCATAGCATTGGATGATGTTCATTGAAATACATTCTTCCTTTGTTTTGAACGAGGCTTAGATGATCCTTGGTCCATGAGATTCCCATCCTATAAGCGCATTTTGCGCTTGTTTGGACAGCATCTGCAACTCCTTGTGTATGTGGAGCATTTTCTTCTTCATGGCCGGAGTATAACAGGAGCTCTCCTGTAGTTAGTCGTTGTTGTCCAACTTGTGTCCAATGTGTTTCACTGATCCCAAGTACCTCTAGGTTGTATCTTCTCATTTCTGCAGCGATTTGGAAGGCTCTTCCGGTGTCCCACATTGTACGAACATTCCATGTACCTAAATAAATGGTTGCTCTGGTTGCCGGAAGGGATATCGGCCTCTTAACTTTCGAAGGAACTCGGCTTTCATCATGAGGCGTCATAATTCTTCTAAATGAAGATCTTCTGACTCCCAGGGCAGAGTTTAAAAGGTTTGAATAATTTTTCTGGCTAGCGTTGTTTTAGCGAGTTAGTTTTCTACGGGATGGGGTCGCTAACCCCATCCCCAACTCTCCTCCTTTATCCCGGCTTGGGACCGGCATTAGCCCCCGGAGAGACTCCAGGCAGAGTTTTATTGAAGCACAGTTGACTGATATGCTTGTAGCTTACGAACCAAGTATAAAAAAATATAATTCGAATACCAAACGGTTACTCGTAAACTATAAAGAACGAACTGAAATGTATTGTTCTAGTCATAATCATAGCAATTGCACAATAGTCCTTGAACTACTAGATTTTCAGGGCGAAATTTCCAAAATGCCAAACAAAAATAGCGTGAAGCCGAGGATGTATAAGATCAAAGTTATGAATGAATATTTGCGAAGTCTAATTGAACTAAATGTATGCAAAGGAGAGTGAAGTTTATTATATTCCATATTACAGTCATTAAGCAGTTGGATACTTTCAGCACCATCCAGTGATCAATCAATTGCAAATGCATTACAGCCCTACAGGAGGTCAGTCGCGGCACAGACAGCTTAGTGGTAACGTCTCCGACTGTAGAGCTGGGTGAAATGGCATGAAACACTTTAGCAGGCAGAAATTTCACTAAATTTAGAAGTGACCACTGTGCTTAAAAATGCAACATAGTGTAAAACGTAAGTCGAGAGTCTCTGTAGGTTTGTAAATCACAGGTGACTGAAAAGTTTTCTAAAAGTTCCCCACTTTAACTTAGAGCGAAAGTGGTAGTTTTTAGGCGTGTCAATGGGTCATATTTTAGTCTCACTGAAATCTGTGAAGAGTGGGATCCTCCAAGTGATGTTTTTAGTATTTTGTATTCCTATCAAATGCAGGAGTCTACAACCAGCATTGATAGGGGCTACGAAAATACAGCAAGTATTGTTTGAGTAAACATAGGTGAGAGCATGACGGCATCTTCTAAAGGCTTGTGGAATTATGGACAGCTGGTCTAATATTTCTGAAGTCGGGTAGGGATACAATCAGAACAATCCAGGGCATTCGTAATTGTGAGTTTAAATATCGGGAAGTTGTATTAGAGTGGATCCAGTGAATACAGACGAAATTGATGAAACACCTTTCTGAAGTATACTACGACATGACTCATTCCCTCCGGCTTGTAGCAATTAGGAGGTAATCAGGCAATGACTTACTTTCTAGTGAGTGATGATTTTGATATTATCGTATTTTCCCAATTTCTTCCATCTACAGCTGACCATCGGAGAGAATTTTCGCATAATGTCCAGAAAGTGAAGTTCATGTACTTTCGTATCATTTATTCGGATATAACTTAACGAAGCTTTTCCACCCTATATGACATTAGAATCTTCAGTTTTTGAAAAAAATTCATAATTGTAGTAACATAAATTTTGAGTAGTAATGTAAGTCTCTTGGCTTTTAGCACCTCGGGAGACCGAGGCGTGTCATTCAAAGCTGACGTTACTTTGATTAGTCACGGACTGCAATGGCACTGACTTCTGCTGCTGGACTTGTTTCTCTTTTGGACGACAAGGGTTCTGATGTCAAAGTAAAATCGAACAATTTATTTCACTTATTCTCACTTCAGGCATTTGCTCTAAAACGTCTCTATGATATGGTTGACGAGTTTTGGGCTGAAATCTCAGAAGCAGTAATGAAAATTGAAATACTTCATGAAGACTCTAATTTTGAATATAACAAACTTGCTGCTTTACTTGTGTCCAAAGTTTATTATCATCTAGCTGTCTATGATGATGCACTTCACTATGCTTTATGTGCTGAAGAGCTTTTCGATCTAAATGCGAATACCGAATTTGTGGAAACCATTATTGGTAACTAACAAATACTAATTACAACTGTATAGCTAAATGTATTGATAAGTATACCGCTCTTCGAACTGCTCAAGATCAGCTTGTGGATTCGTCCGGTTCCGTTGTAACAGAATATTCAGACGACAGTACTTGGTCTGTTACTAGTCCAACATACAAAAGATTAGAACACGTTGTCAACAAAATGTTTGACCGTTGCTTTGATCACAAACAGTATAAACAAGCCCTGGGAATAGCTATTGAAACCCGAAGGTATGTTTTTGGCGTAATCCCATCAATGTTTTTTACATAATTATAACCATCCACCAAACGCGTTCGTCTACAAAGTGATGCCTCATAAATTTGTGTCTAGTAAGGCCGCGAAGAAAGTCTCGAAGGCTAAGCTGCCGAAGGTTGATAATAAGAAAAGAAGGAGGAAAAAGTTATGCTATCTACATCTATAAAGTTTGCCAAGTTCATCCTGACACTGGTATCTCGTCGAAGGCAATGTCAATCATGAACTCGTCTGTGAACGATATCTTTGGGCGCACTGTCGCGGAAGCCATCCAACTATCTCACTGCGATCTAAGAACTACACTGTGTGTATCACCGTGTTCAATTAAACTTCCATACTTTCAAGTCATTGTCAGAGTCCTTTAAGGCTATCTGTTTTCTAGGTCGATTTTTATACCAACTGAGATCTTTCTGTTATTTTGTCTATTCGATTATAAACGTATATAATCCTATGGAGTCCATGCTTTTACGTGATTACTGTTCAATAAGTTAAGATAAACAGACTCCGATGACGTACATGGGTTAGTAAACGGGATTATGGCACTAAATGGATACGTTTTACTGCTCACACAGGTTTACAAATAAACAGATTTTGGCGAGACTATAATTTATGGACGAACCAATCAGGTTTAAGATATCTGGTCTTGGACTTTTTCGCGAAACTAATTCATTCACTTGGCTAAACAGAGTTTTGCCATTACAGCTGATGTCAGTTCATGATGTAAACCTTAAATCTACTTCATAACCCTAACTATCAACCGTAAATTTTAGTCCTAATTACTCACACCTGTTTATGGCCTTCATTTAGCCGTAGTATGTAGATAGAGATTCTCAAGGTCTTTCTAGCGTAGCCCGGAGGTCGTCCATTATTTATAGTCTCACCCACATTTTAAATAGATAGGAAGGTTGTTCACTTGGGATGAAAAGTAGTACTTACTCATTAGTGGTGAATGTGCTTTGAGGTTTGGACCATATCTCCTCCATTCGGGCTTCAAATACAACGGAAAGATAGCTCTTCTATAGTCTTCATTTCTAATCTGTAATATGTGTAGGTCACCATTAATTGGCTTTCGGTATACTAACACAACGTAGTAATTTTGGTACTCAAATAGTATATTAATTTTTTTCTGACATCTAGCTACTTTTATTCCATCCGAAATCGCCCATGTAACATGGTTTTGAAGTACTGATCCAATTCATCGAGTTGAGTATTTGCTCTTTGTCACTCGCATATTTTCAACTGTTTGCCACTTTTGTACTGGAATGAAATATTTTAAGTGAATAAAATATCTTTTTTTTCAGGTTGGACATATTTGAGAAGGCGATAATTTTGTCGGATGATCAAGAGGGCATGCTTCGTTATGCTTTTCGTGTTGTGCTCACTTTAATCGACAGTGTACGCTTGAGAAACCGTCTTCTTAAAATCTTAGTTTCTGTGTATATGAACCGAGCTCTTCCCTCAGATGCTGTAAATGTTTGTCAATGCTTAGTACTAATGGATGACCCACAGGTTCGTCAATTTTAAAATATTTCTTTCATTTGTTACGTTAGAATGTTCCATGAAATATTGTTTTTTAAGATTGTCAGCTAATTTATCTAGCGTAAGTTTCTATACGTAGCTAACGGTTTTACCTGAGTATCTAAACCAAAGTAGGTCAGGGGGGTCTGAATTTAAAACATTTTAGTTGGAAGTCTTGTACTTTGACCATCAAGGTACTTCAACTAAGCCATTCACAGATATATCACTGAAAAGGAAGAGAATAACACTAAGAATAACGATTATGAACCTATGCATTAACGATGATGAATCAAGCGATAGTGTACCATTTAATACTATTTCACACCAACATAGATTACTCTAGATTTCAGACATACCAATTAACCTGATCTTTCTTAGTCATAATCTACACATATATTTGACCTCATCGGTTATTCATCTGTTATCTTCATTGCTCTTATCTGAGCGTATATGCGTGAATGTCTATCACTTACTCTCTGTCATGTCTTAAGCTTGTTTTTCTGTCTGAATTAAAAGATTTATTCACATTTTATTAAATTGAGTTTGCACGTTTGACTTTTCCAATTCGGCTTCTTTTCTCATTATCTGGGTCAGTAAATGTATGAAATATACGTATCCAAAAACCATTCTCTTATTTGACCTGTTCTGTTATTCACTAATGTAAACCAAGTCGATGAATATGTAAAGGTTCAAGCAGGATATATATTTCGTTAACACCATCTTCCGATCATATGGAGTCAGATTGCGCGTCATTAATTGTCATTTTCTATCTAGGGCTTAATTGCGGCTCGAATGGAGCATACCAATAGTCAATGAAGAACATACATTCACACACATTTGAAAGATGTGATAACTCATCATCCCAAATCAAACCAAAAGACCTTAAATCTTTTTAAGAGGTTCATAAATACGTTTAATATTAACTTGATGGGAGGTGATAGCTGGTGTTTTTTTATTTATTTAAGCACATAAACATACGAGACACCGAATACATATGCGACACACAAGTCACTTGATTTGTGTGTGTGCTGTGGTACTGCCCGGGTACACAAACCGAAGTAGGTGGTTTTCTTAGGTGGCCACACCCGGAGCCTTCGACCTAAAATTCTGATCCACAAGGCAGTGGGGCAACGTCAGGAGAGGCAGTCCATGGTAGCCGGTGACCAACAATTGGTTCATACTCCATTTGCTCCATCAGGATACTGGAGCCTATGTGCACCATTGGTTTGGAATCAGGGTTTTCCAACTTCCCCAGGTGGACTCTCCGTGTCCACTGATCCGGTTAAAGCGCCGAACATTCGCTTTTTGTCCACTCAATTTCGTAAAAGACACCGCTGCGAAGAGGCAGTGAGTAGGACTTCTGTGGTAGTAGCTGTATACGCATGGCCTTGTGAGAGCATTTCGAGTGAGAAAACTGACTCCCCACTCTCGGCCGTACCAGAACATCTGGGTGCTGGGAGAAATTTTCGAGCAACCAAGCCAAAACTTGATGTCAGTCCATGAAATTATCAACTGTCGAACTGAGCCATGTATTTAGATTCAGATTATCTGGTTGTGGTCCTCGTAACTACTGTAACTGGTGTTTAGGGACTTCAGGTGACATGGATCAATATTGCTCGCAATGGTATAGTTGTGTTCACTCTTTGTGTACACTTAAATCTTGAATTTATGAATCATCTTAAAAGTTATTTTGTTCTACGAATTCATACTGTTTCGAACCATAGTTTTTATCCCTAACTTTTTCTTCTATCACAAATCCTGTTACTACTTATACTACTCTGAAATCCCGTTGTCATGATTTATTGTGACAACTTAAAATAAATCTACCAGGTTCTGTGTTGCATGTGACTTGTCGACCATTTTATTCTGTTTGTTCAGGAAAATTTTAGTTTTAAAAGACTAACTTTAAGAACCAAATATCATTTGATTCTGATGATATAAATTTAGTCAGTTTTCATGTCGTTCATTATTTTAACAGTTTGAGAACATTCTTGCTGGAATTCGTAAGGAAAATAATTGTCCTACTTTTGTCATTGGTCAGTAAATATACTAATCCTTGAGTGGAATTTCACCTTCACATCATAATTTGTATGTTATCATGTAATGTGGTATTTTCATATGTGATCAAAAGCGCTGATGTATCATAATTTCATTAAAATGTGGTAATTTACTCAGTGGTTGGTAAAGACATACTTTCACTAGCCCCCCTGGTTCCTCAAATTTTTCATTTCATTATTTACAGATAAATACACTAAGTGGTATATATTTACTCTCATTTCAGGCCACAGCAGATACTCTGGAACACTTGTTACTACAATCACAAGAGGCAGCCGTAACGGCATATCAAATAGGTTTTGATTTGTATGAAAATGCAACCCAAAACTTTCTTCAACGTGTTTCAGCCTCTCTTGCCCGGAGCTCAAAATTGAGTCATGTAATGAGCTTAATTGAACGTGATAAAAACGCTGCAAAAAGTTCAAAAACGCCGGAGGGTTCAGCTTGTACCACCGTTGAAACTACAGACGGCGATAAAAATAAATCAGACAACAAGGAAGCAGAAGAAGCAGTAGAAACTGCATTAGCTAGTGAAACAAACAAAGAGGCTGAGATACCTGCAGATGAACCGCTGTCAGAATTAGATAAAGAAATTAAAAATCGTCTTATGCACTTGGTCAGTATTTTATCAGGAGATAAAGTAAGCATCAGAATCGTACATAATTGGTTTTATTATATTATTAGAAAGCTAATTTATTGTTAGACAGTATTTATTTTGATAAAATGGTAATGTGTATTGTACTGACTAAACAGGGGTTGTCAGTCGACGCGAAGAGGATATCCTTTTTCTTATGCTTATCATCGCAAAATGTTTTTTGAACTGCCATTATTTTTGTGTAAATATTTCTTATTGATGAAAGTGGTTTCAAGCACTCATTAACCGATAATCGAAGCGTGAATATTATTTCAGTAAATATCGTCGACGGATCCACCAAATGAGGCGGAAGTCCGCAAGGAACTCCAACTTTTGAAGCACTACAAATCACCGGGCCCAGATGACTTACCTCTGGCTCTTTTTAAAGATGGTTAAGGAACTTACTGTTTTGTTTGCAAAGGTCTGGGAACTAGAGAGTGTACCAACGTCATGGAATGAGTCGATAGTTGTCCCTATCTTTAAAAAGGGTTCACGTCGTTCCTGTAACAACTCTAGGGAGATAAGTCTACTTCCGATTGCGTCCAAGCTATTGGCTTCCGTCATACTTCGTAGGTTGTTCAAAACCCGAGAAAGATTGGCTCACAAGGAGCAGGCGTGTTTTCGTTGTGGTCGAGGATGTATTGATCATATCTTCACCCTCCACTAAATGTTAGGACACCGCCATACTTATCAAAGGCCAACAATCGTAGTGTTTCTTGACATCAGGGCTGCCTTGATTCATTGGACAGGACTGTTCTCTGGGATTGTCTATTGAATAAGAATGTGCCTGAGTTTTTTAGCATCTTAAAGACCCTATATTACAAACACCTCAGGTAGAGTGAAGGCATACAACCACCTTTCTCCATCGTTCCTGTTAGCGGGACATAGACTGGATTAAAGCATGCTCAATGCACGATTGCTTTGGTGCACGCCGATTGGCTAATTCTTATCCAATCAGCACTAGTCGATAGTTGGAGAATACTCTAGAATCTTCTCATGTAAAAACTATAAATATACTGACGTTTTCCCTATTGTGCTTCTTACTTGCATCTTACTTCCATCTAACCTTGTTATTCGGAATATAATCTCTTTCCTGTTCAACCGTGTTCTGATTTAGGGACTTGTTGAGTGAATCGGTGTCCGAGAATACTAAGCAATAGTAATAGCTGGGTTATAACCGTAAGAAAGAGATTATAACAGTCCCATTCAAGTAGTGGGCTTAGACAGGGTCGCCCAATCTCACCATTTCTCTTCAACTTTGCCATCGATGACATTCTGGAAACAGCTCTGATGGATGTAAGTAATGGCGGTGTGGATCTGTTGCCTGGTGAAAGACTTCTCGACCTTGAGTATGCGGATGATATTGTCTTACTGTGTGATAATGCCCAAGCCATGCAATCCACACTTAATCAGTTGGCAATCAGTGTCCGTAGGTACGGTGTGTACTTTGCACCTTCGAAGTGCAAATTACTTCTACAAAACTAGCAGGATTCTAATCCTGTACTCACCCTGGATGGTGAGCAGATAGAAGTAGTCGAGAAGTTCATGTATCTAGGTAGCTGCATAAGTGCTGGTGGTGGCGTGAGTGATGAGATCATTGCGTGTATAGTGAAAGCCAGAGCGGCTTATGCAAATCTGGGCCATCTTTGGCGCCTTCGTAATGTCAGCCTGGCTGTAAAAGGTCGGATTCACAACGCATCAGTGGGAGCAGTTCTGCTCTATTTTTGCGAAACCTGGTCTCTCCGAGTTGAGGACGTTAGAAGACTCTCTGTGTTTAGTCATCGTTGTCTCCGAAGGATTGCTGACATCCAGTGGCAACACCATGTTAGTAATGCAGGGGTTCGGCATCGTGTGTTCGGGCACAGAGACGATAATCCAATTGGTGTCAGCATCTTGAAACATCGACTTCGGTGGCTTGGAAATGTTCTACGAATGTCGTCCCAGAGAATTCCACGTCGTGCGTTATTTGCCGTCGCTGGGATTGGTTGGAAAAAGCGGAGGTGGTCAGTGTATGACAAGGTATCGTGGTATAAAAGAAAGCTGCAAAGGACTGGCTTGTGTCGGTCCTTCACGACTCCCTGGCTGGGGTCCGAGAGATGGTGCTACACAGTGGCTGGAGACGCTATCGGATATGGCTCAGAATAGAAGCCAGTGGCGATCTTGCTGTAACTTCGTTTACTTTTTTCGTAGAAAATGCACGTAACTTTTTTATCTGTAAGAATTCTTTCTGGTTGTACCTTTCCGTTTCCCCTATTTTATTATTATTATTATTATTATTATTATTATTATTATTATTATTATTATTATTATTATTACACTACCACACACTAATCTGTGGTCGTTTTTGTTTTTTCCCTTATATTCGCCTTACCTTCTTTTTCTCTTCTTATTCATTGTTTTGTGCGGCGTATACATATTTGGTGCCCTCTTGTACCAATATTTATGTGTTCAAATAAATATAATAAACTCATTAACCACACTATGGTGAACAGATATACTAAGCTTTAAACTCCACTCGAGCTTTTTGTAACTCTCTTAATAACATCCGGATTCTTCAATTTTCAACTGATTTGTGCAAGTATTTACATACGTTGACGGATAAAATCAAGGATGTATTATCCTAAGGCTCTTCAGTACTGCACAAACGTACCAACAGATGTATTTCAAAAGTAGGAACGAATTTTTGTAATAATTCTAGTTAGCGAATATATTTTATAAACTAAACCACTTTAGATGCACAATTTGTATACATTTTCATTATATTAAGTTCTTTGACATTCCCTCCTATTGATTATGTGTTGCACAAAACTGGACGAAAGCAGATTTCATACACCTGTGATTTTATCATAACTGGTTTGTCGTAGGACATCTTCAAACGTTGACCATTAAGTGTGTTTCGAATGGTCAAACTCGACAAAAAGCCGTCACTTTCAGTATTCGTTTCTACACAAACCAGTTTTACTTTGACCAGGTGTTGATTTTCTTCACTTAGTGGATAGTACTTAAGTGCAGTATTTTATATTTACCTGAATTCAGATTAACGTCACTGATCTAAAGCTATATTAAAACAGCCACCAAGTAATTTTCAAATCAATTGGTTTAATCGCATGTCATGTTCGTTTGTGTAACGGAGTGGCATTACTAGATATCATATGACAGGTTCGTATGACAGTAACGATCCATGTACTGAATTACCTTTGTAATCGAGCGCAAGCATATTGAAAAAATGATCATACCATGGTAAAGTACGAGTGTATAATTTAACTTGACCATTCCAACGTACACTGTGGATGCACGCTTTTTCATTACTATAGTCATTAGTAGATATTGTCTTAACTACTTAAAAATTCGATTTTCTTATATTTAGGTAATTGAATTGCACCTCCAATTTTTGATACGAAATAACAAAGCTGACCTTCGACTACTTGAACGCATACGTGATGAGGTACGACATTCGGTGACGCATAATGCTACAGTTATTGCAAATGGTATTATGCATTGTGGAACAACATCAGATCAGTTTTTAAGGGATCATTTAAATTGGTTAGGAAAAGCTGTAAATTGGGCTAAATTTACTGCTACTGCTACCCTTGGGGTTATACACAAAGGTAAATATTTTATTATTTTCCATTTATGGGAGTGTACCTACCGGGATAATAATAAACATTGATTTCAGTACTGATAAAGTTTAACGACATTTTGTCCGAGTTTTTACTGATAGTTATAACTTCCGATTGATGTCTTGCTGTTGTTTATCCTTTCAGGTCATGAAAAAGAGGCTTTACGTCTTATGTCTGCCTATTTGCCCAAAGATGCAAGCGGTTCATCCGGTTCTGTGTACACTGAAGGTGGTGGTTTGTTTGCTCTAGGTTTGATTCATGCTAATCATGGTGGAACGATGACAGGTAAGTTCTTGAAAGTAATCACAAATATTTAAAAGACATTTTAATTACTTTCTGTGTAAAAATATTTTCATCCGTAAAATTTTACCATGTATCAAACTTATGTACCTTGTAAACATTTACTGGCTCATAAGATAAGCTAGTTGTATCTAGTAACTAGTTTTCTACTTTTTTTATAAATGCTTTTTCATATGGCCTTGGTTGGGGTACTTGGATTATTAACTTATACATATTGGTGGGTATTTTTGCGAATAAATTATTCTGGTACTAATTAGTTTCAATCATTTTGTGCTGTATTAGATTGTCTCACATATTTTACTTGCATAATGCTTGTCATTTAATTTTTATTTAGCTTGTATTCCCGATCTGTTGATATAGCTCTTTCGCGGTATTTTATATCCATGATAATCTGCGATATTTAATGGTGGAGATACACTCATTATTTTGCATAAAGTTTTAAACACGAGATTATTTCATACTTCTGATTCATAGGTTCTACCAGGTTTTTTTTTATATCGACAGTTTTTACTTCTTAATTTTGGTTCTTCACTACCATTTTCGTCATTAATTTTGTTACCCTTGATGTTAATTTTTCTCTCTCTATACTGTGAACCTTGTTCATTTTTGTACTGATGCGAACTCATCCTAAGTTTCACGACGTTGTTTATCTCTCTATCTTTTAATTATACTCTTCCATAACGACTGTTAAATATTATTTATTTCTTCAGAATATTTGCTCAATCAATGCAAGGAGGCTACTGCAGAACCTGTCAGGCATGGTGCATGTTTAGGCCTTGGTTTAGCTGCTATGGGGACCGGTAGAGAGGACGTGTATGATCAAATTAAACTTAATCTTTATCAAGATGATGCAATTACAGGTAGGCTTGTTTACAATATTTTCTTTGTTGTTCTATCCATTCTATTGTATTCGACGTGAATTATCCATTATTCATAATTCTTAGCACCAAATAACATTAATGCAGTTAGTTCTTCACAATGGTTTATCGTACATCCTGAGTTATATCATGATTATAGGAGTGCTAACCATAGAAGCCTATTTCTTAATTTCATTAACAAGTAAACTTACATCATAATTTTGTTTATTTTATTACATAAGACTGAACTATTTAATTTTCCTATATTAAAAAAAAATTGAATGTATTTAATCTGTGGTTTTGTAAAAGGCTTCTACTCATAGCGTTATTCAGTTGATTAACCGACTTATTTAGTATTTTTATTTATTATTATTTTCATTTATCATACTGTGTTTGTCTCAAGGTGAAGCAGCGGGTATTGGTATTGGTCTAGTCATGTTAGGAACTGGGTCAACACGGGCTATTGAAGATCTACTTGGTTATGCTAAAGAAACAGCACATGAGAAGATTATACGTGGCGTTGCTTTAGGCATTGCACTTGTCATGTACGGTCGAGTTGAAGAAGCTGATGAACTTATTGACAATCTGATTATTGTAAGTTTTTTATTCACTGTGTTGTGTAAATGATAGTTTTGAATTTTTGCTGGGTAAATTTTAGTTAAAATGGTAAGTAAAACCGTTGGTCGATAGCTGTTGCACAGTGATACAATTCGGTCAACTTACAACTGCTCACAAGGTTAAGTTATTGACACGAGCTCCGGAATGAAATGGTGTCAAAGGACAATACAACTGGGTAGCAGGATAATTTTTTGTTGCTTGTGACAGACATGTTTGTTTACAAACTATTAAACACGAAAGTAGGCATGAAAACATGTTGTTTTATATAAGAGATTGTAAGACAGATTTAGTAGGTCACATATATGCCAATCAAATTAAGCCTTGAGTATCAGGCTTAATTTTCGAACATATTGTCGAGAGACTCTATGATGATGATTTTAATTATTTCTACACTAATCCCTAACAAAATTTCCACAACAATCCTAGACAAACCAATGTTCATGGAAAATCTTAGAGCCTTCTATGGAAAATTTCCCTGTGTTCTATTCTAACCTCACTAATGTGTCACATACTGTGCAACTGGGTCTTAAGACCTAGTAGGATTATATATTCATATAAACCAGAGTTTTTATTCTTTTTCTCAGCAGTTGTGAGATTTACATTTTAGCAGTAAAAAAACATCAAGACATCGAACGAACTAAAAACAAATCTAGTTGACGTAAATATGTAATCCAGGCCGAGGACCGTTATTTTGACGAAGCGATCCACTAGTATGATGAGTAATTTCTTGTCTTCCTTTAGGATCTCAGTGTAGTCAACAGATCGTGGTTAAAAGAGCTTTACCATCATGTTACTAGGTTGTCATTTAATCCTCAATACTTAAATCTATTTATCTCACGATGAGACTACTATTCTTATATATGCTATATGTTCTTCCTATCGAGGTTAACTGTCCTGAAAATCATAATCTATCGATAGAAGTCCTATATGTTTCATCTAACATCAACAGTTATTTAGCAAACTGTTGGTTTTTGATACTTATCGTTTCAACGAGTGGACAGAGCCCCTAATGGTCTTTAATTTGGATAAGTATGTGCCAGAATTTTATTCCATATTTGTCAATTGTTTTCGTCATATAGACAGATTTTCAAAATGTCATTTATTCAATCAACCTTTATCATTGGTTATTCCTGTTTGTTTTTCTTCAAAATATAGGATAATGATCCCATTTTACGTTGGTCTGGTATGGCAACAATTGCAATGGCTTACTGTGGGACTGGTAATAATCAGGCAGTGAAACGTTTACTCCACGCTGCAGTCAGTGACACCAATGATGACGTTCGACGATGGGCTGTTACAGCTCTTGGTTTCGTTCTATTCAAGTATGTTGTGTATAAACGTTTTCTCAGAATACGTATCGGTTATTTGTCATTAGTCTTCTTTCCAAGCAAGCCATTGTACTAAGCATTCCTACCTTAAAAATGAAGTTAATTTAACCGTAACCCTCATTTTTTGTTACCTTTTAGAAATCCTGAGCAGGTCCCATCACTGGTGTCCTTACTCGTTGAATCCTACCATCCTCATTTGCGCTATGGTGCTGCTATGGCAGTAGGAATAGCCTGCGCGGGAACAGCCCTTAAAGAAGCTGTTAATTTATTAGAAACTTTACATGAAGGGACAGTGCCATTTGTTCGTCAAGGTGCCTTAATTGCTAGTGCAATGGTATTAATTCAGCAGAATGCGGTTACCTCCCCAAAGGTATGAGTCATAAAGATGGTCATTTCATTGTGCTCTTATTTACAAACCAATATATTGTCAGTTTTGTTACTTTTCATATTGCCTTATCATTCACGGATATTTGTTTGCAGCTGGTGTAATAAAACGTTATTCTTAGTGAAATTCCCATTTAGCTTCAAGATTAATGCGCTTCTTCAGAGCATATCCATGGAGGTCTATGGGCTTTTACACCTGCGACTCTAGAAAATTTCATACTTGCATCCAAGATGCATTTGTCTGTTGAAGGATTGTTTTAGTGTAAGCTTTTGTTTGAAAATTTTATCAACTTACAGAACCACAATATAGACTAATGTCTCAATAGCGATTTATCAGACTTAAGATCACAGTTAAATAATGTCTCTACTGATTTAGCATTGATTATGGCTTATATGACAACCATGATGTAATTAATGGAGTGTAATGATGCATCTGTCGGCTGTCCTCTGTGCACTACTTTGTAGCGTAGTCCGTCACCCAGATCTTTTTTGGTATCTCGATGAGGTATCCTTCTTCCTAGTCTGTCGGTACTTGTTCATCCCCAAATCTTCCTGACTAGAGTGTGAAGCATGTTGCGATTGCTTCTTTATCTGACTTCAGTGGTATATTGTCAGGTCCTGTTGTTTTCCCACTCTTAATTTGTCTGACGGCCATGGTGATTTCTTCGATCGTTGGTAGAGTGACATCTCTAGGATGGTCTGTATGTGCTGCTTCGATGTCCGGTGGACTCAATGGAGCTTATCTATCCAAGAGTTCCTCGAATTGTTCTACCCATCCGTTCCTCTGTTCCTGAATCTCAATGACTGGCCTACCTTCTTTGTCCTTTACCGGTCTCTCTGGTTTACTATATTTCCCTGCTAGTTTCTTCGTTGTGTCATATGGCTGTTTCATATTTCCTTCTCTTGTAGCTTTTCCTGCTGTCGCTGTTAGGTCTTCCATGTATTTCTGCTTGTCATCTCTAATGATCCTCTTCACTTGCTTGTTTGCTTCTTCGCAGGATTTTAAAGTCCAGAATGCTAACCGCTACACTACGAGGCCACGGTTTCCTAATTATTCAACAGTTAATACGTTTCTTTTGTGATTCCGACCATTTTAATTATGTGTTGTATCATCGAGTGGCGTTAACTTAAATAAATAACCTTTCGAAGTTCTTTTAACTATTCGAAATGCGTAACAGATCATTTCAGACTCTGACACTTTAAATAGTGAAGAAGTGGGTAAACAGTTAGCTCAACGCATGAGTAATAAATAAGGTTTGATATTGAAATTAAATATTCTTTTCTTTTAGTCTGTAGATTTCCGTCAGAAATTGTTGAAAATTATTGGGGATCGTCATGAAGATTTATTGGCCAAATTCGGTGCTATCATAGCATGTGGCATTTTAGATGCTGGTGGATGTAATATGACTATTTCATTGCAAACACGTACGGGTACGTCCAATTTATTTCAAATCATTATATTTGATGACCTCCATTTGGTACCACAATTATTATTTTAGGTTCTTTTCGGTTAATTGTAGTTGATAAAAGACTTCTACTTCTTTATCACAAGTCTATAACCATCGGGTGGATTGACTAATTAACTGATAGTCATCATAAATCCTGATTTAGCAGATATCACATTCTAGGACTCTAAATCAGTGATAGCACTTCTTGCTAATCGACTGTTTTGTAGTAAATGTTGTCATAGTAAAATGTATTGTCTTTTATCACACTCTGAATTAGAAAAACTGTTATGTACCGGTATCAAGCAAACCAGTTCTCAAAAATACGTACCTGGTTTAAAGTATGAGATCACCGGTGTAATACCAAGATTAATCGCGATTGAATGCTTTAATTGAAGTAGAATAAAAAACTTCAGGGCTATTCGATTTCTTATGACTCTTCAGCTGATATGGATATGGAAGTAAATTGATAACTGAAATATCCAGTTAGCTAGCAACAATATAGGATCTAACATAAAGTGCATCGTCCCAGCCTACCAAACTTCATATTAATAAAATGAAGGGAAATTAACAATGTAAAAAGATGCAAAGTTAAAATCTATGGTGGTTAAAACTGTAGAAATAAAATAAGTTAAGTTGGTGAAAAAACTATCATACGCTATTTTAACCCAGGAAATAGTGGAAGATATAGCGTAACTCCTTCCTCAGTGTAGTCATTGAAAGTTCCCTGAAAACTTTAATGAAACAATACCACTTATTTCAACATGAATTATCGAATTGATAGAAATACTGCATATTGTAATTTAGTGTTGTATAATAGGTTTGATTGTGTTGTGTAGTAGTTTTTTGTCACAACATTGATTTTTATTGATAATAATATATTTGTAATATCCCAATAAGCGGAAAAATTAAATTTTCTGACGTTTCGCGACTCTGTGTAAGCCACTTCTTCAGAAAACAAATAAACTGAATAAATTAGTCCAAGTTAAAATAGTACAGAGGAACAAAGCAAAAATATTTCGTACAATCAATCAATAAACAGATCTGACCAAGTTAATGTCATGTCATTACGGTAATTTATGTGAGACATGTTTGTTTGTTAGTGTGTGGGTGAAAAATGTAACATTTGTAATGCGAGTTGAATTTCTATGTAAGATAATAGTGTGAGATGTGACTAGAATCAGATGTAGTAACTCGGGTAGATAGTCAAAGTTGGATGAATAATAAGGCCTTTTCCATTGAGGGTAGTAGGATTTAGCAATATATAGAAAGCTTCAGCTACTCACCTTGCTTTGTAGTTGGAAAAACCTTTTTGTATTATTTTGATAATTTTAATATTGACTTGATGGTTGTTGAGAATGTGATGCACTGTTATTGCCAATCTAATTTAGAGTTTTTCAAGTTCTACAGGATTATTAAGTAGTTTGTTTTATATACACCTATGATGTTCTGTGCTACATATCAAAATTTCACGAGATGACTCTCCAATATAAGAGGCATTACAATTGATACATACTAGTTTGTTTATTTATTCTCTAAAGAAGTGGCCTACACTGAGCTGCTAAATGTCGGAAAATTTGATTTTTCTACTTATTGAGATATTAAAAATTATCATTTCTATTAATAAAAATCTACCCAATGCTCAATTTATTTGAAATTATCAAGTCAAATCTACAACATTGATTTTGTTATTAACTTCTCACATTTTTTCTCTCTGTTCATTTGCTATATTGTATCACGTAGGCAATGCAAACATGGCAGCGGCTGTCGGTCTTTTAATCTTTCAGAATTTCTGGTTTTGGCATCCATTAACCAATTTTATCAGCTTAGCATTTACACCAACTGCATTAATAGCATTGAATAAAGATTTGAATATGCCAAAGATACAGTTTCGTTCAAATGCTAAACCGTCGACTTTTGCCTATCCTCAACCATTGCGTTAGTTAAACTGTGATTATTTATTTATTTCCTGTGTTATATTTACTATTATCTGTTATTACAGAAAAATGACAATTCAACGAAGAAAACTTTTTGTTTTCGGCAATTTCATTTAATTAGACTATACATAGTTATATCCCGATGAGAATAATAAATGGTAACTTTCGGGATATACAATAATCCAATGGCTAATGAAAAATATCAGTGTGAAGATAATTGTGCAGTTAAATAAAATAATTGAAAGTTATAATAACGGCTAATGAGTAGTTGTGAAAAATATTTAAAAATGAGTAAAGAAGACGATAAGTTATGGAAGGGAGAAAGAAAGGTTAAGACCATGGTAGAAAGAGGTATTGAACATGTTGTTTTTGTACATAAAAAGTTAGGGTTGGATTTGTGGATAACCATAACCTCTGCTGTACATACCTCTTTCATTTTTATTCCTGTCGGACTGATTTTTCTGACTTTATGAATAATTTTGAAGGAGGATTCTGTTTGAGTAGACTGACTAGAATTAATTAGTTGTTCTAGAATTGAGCGTATGACTGACTTTTGTAATCTTTTATATAGCCAGTCAGAGTAATTTTAGTTGATATTTATAAGTTGTGATATTCTACTAGGTACAAGGTAATCGTTCTAAACACATACATTTCTAGTATGTTGGTTTTGTAAAGTTAAACATATACACCATTGGATTTCGACTCGGTGGTTTGAGAGATAAGCGTTCACATGCGAGACTGAAGGTCCTTGGCTCAATCCACGATGTGGTCGTGGATGCACTTTCCTAAAGAGTTCCATGCTAGGACGAAACGGCTGTTTAGTGCTTTTCAATTTTAACTGGTGATCTAACGTATATTTCTGTCAATAATGGAACAACAAAAGACGTGTGAAAATCATATTTAAATTATCTCAGCAAATGTTCATATACGTTATGGAACTATAAAGTTCTGTATCCAACTAATGTCCATTAGTTAATCCATCCACTTTTCAATCACTGTATTCGAAATCCTCCTGGACTTGTATTTATAAACTTCATATAACAGACATACATAGCTCAGATCCTAATATATAAATATACATCTGAGTACTAGGTTATAATGCAGATAATCAGTAGTAGAGTCATATATTTGTTAATGCACATCTATGCATATAATCATATTGCCTTTTTAAAAAGAAAATAAACAAACAGTGTTACGGACCGATTGGAACTTGGATTATTCTTATTAACATTTGGTTTATCTGCAAATTTCGATGTTAAGCATAATTCAGGTTAACTTAAGCCCGATTCATTTTATACAATTATCGAATAAAATTGTTACTTGGTATAGAATAGATTGGATGTGGCTAGCATTGGAATCCAAGACGCGGAGACTGACAAGTGTTTATAGATGCCTGGAAGCTGAAATTCAAATTTATTTATAGTATGAATTCAATCATTCAATGGTGACGAATATGTAACGGCCCATAGCCAATTCAATTTTTTCAACATATGGTTTTCACTTCCGGATCCCCAAAACTATGTCATCAAAATCAGGAAATAATCCAAGTTTGACAACCACTAAAAACCTGGGACCTCTGTATAACAGCGTAGTTCTAGCTTGGGACTCATCAGTAGTGCACACCCGCTACTCTGAAACCGGAAGTCGAACCTACGGTCTTACGCACGAACGCCTAACCTGTAGACCAATGAACTGGAATATAATAATGTACAAGTCTAAGTTCGATCAATCGGTTCGTGTTCTCATTGAAATTCAATACTCTCCATAATTCTTTACTGAAAGTGACACACTTATTATTGTAGACTCTCTATAAAACGATGATAAATCATGTCATATTGATTTGTTAACGTTGTTCGCAATTATTCTATTCTTCGAATTTTCAGAACAGGAAAAAGAAAAGAAACGTGAAAAAGTAGAGACAGCTATTTTAAGTATCACAGCTAAACAACGTAAAAAGGAGGCTGATAGAAAACAACACAAAGAACAACAACAGTCGACAACCACCGGTGGAGCACAAACTCGCAAAGATTCTCAAACTAAAGAAGTTAAGATGGATATGTAAGATTTTATTGCATTAATGATTTTGACAATATTCTCAGTTCATTATCATAGATAAATCAATCCTGGAAAAGTCTTTTCTTCCAACTGATAACATTTGAATGGCTTTAATGGTGATATGTGGTAGTAGTATTTTTTCTGCACAAACTTAATTACTTATTGTTTACCCAATAATTTTTAGTGACAAATTACCACAACCAAAAACAAACCACATTCGTAGATATTTCAACGATTAAAATTAAGTAGTTCTGTCGTTTCATAGGGCAATTTAATTCTAATTTATTAAATAAAAGTAATCAAAGTTTATTATTTGAATATAGGTTTCGTTACGAACTGACATCAGATGAAAAACCAACTTTCATAATACAATTTATTGTATTCAACCTCATTGTAAATATATTTCCTTTTGCTTTATGGGAGTACATTTAATTAAGGAATGATACATTTCAGGCAACGGGCTACTTATCATTATTATTGAACTCAAAATCAATTGTTTACACAAATACTTATGTTAATGTTTCTAAAGTTTTAATCTATTAGTCGTCGGTTGATCAGTAATTTAAATATTCAAGTTAATTTAACTGTTCTGTTTTAAAACAGAGATACTCCACTAGAAACTGTCAAAGAAGAAAAACCTTCAGCATCATCAACTGAAACAAAAGAAGAGAAAGTGAGTAAAATCTTATTATTTATTAGTATCTGATTTTGAGCAAACGGTTTGCTTAGAGAAATGGGTTGTTATTAATATACTGTGTGGAACTTAGCATATATATCAGTTCAAGTTGCCATACCACATAGACACACCTATATGAAACTATTAAAATGAATGCAGTAGTAATAGAAGTGGTCACAGTGTAATTAGTTTTATCAAAGATTAGGCATAAATAATAGGATTCAAGAAGAAAGAATGAATTACGATTTACTTAAATCAGCAAACAAAACAAAAGTCAGCAACACGACAACAGGACGAGCTAAACTACTCACTGCTCTCCGGCCCTGCTAAGACCAGAGACATCCGAGGGAAGGGTATGTTTCACAAACAGTCGGGAGCACGAACGAACAGACATACGACTCGATCGTATATATACAGTATAAAAATGTTCTTGGGAAACGTCACAAAATAGTCTATTAAAATAGGAAACCAATGACACTTAAGGTGTAAAATACAACCTGAAGGTAAAAATGGATGCTCTTGGCGCGGAAATGTGAAATTAAAGTTTTCAAAATAAAATTACAAAAATAAGAAGTTTATAAAGTGATTTCTTGGGGTTTAGTATCCCTAACATTAGTATTCACCTACCTCTACGAGTTCAACAGCCAATAACTTTCTGAACTGATTCCAAGTTCTGATTTTTCTTTCCCTAGCTTTCTTCCAACGTACTCCTTACATAAGCAAATATCACGCGTCCTGGTAGACGTTGGTCAAGGATGCGTAATACATCTTGCTCATTCGATGAGGATTCACTACGTCATCAACCGATTTGCCATATTTGTCTAGTACTCTGTTTTTCATATCAACATAGCTCTCTTGGTGTTCCTACCAGTACAATACAAATGCTTAGTAGATTCTTATGTTTAAGTACTAGTAACTTACGAATACCCTCTGTTTATAATGTCATGTTGTACAGAGGGGACTGTTGAGCAGTATACTCGCTTCTTCGTTATCAGATGAACAAATAACACTGAAGGTGACTGAAATTGGCAACAATCCAACAAACTTCCCGAATATGTTTATATTTCCAACTCTAATCAACTTATGAGCAATGGAGGCTTTGAAACAGATCCTTCTCCACCATACGTGCAATAGTTTATTTGTTCGTACGATAACTACCTACCATTAATTAGTCCTAAAGGCGTTAGTTATTTAAAGGATGTATTTGGTCATATGGAATTGTAGATTGAACCCTTTATGTTTAATTATCCTGGTTTTCATAATTTTGTATATAATCGTTTAGATTTACACTTATTCATTTGTTTATTATTATTACCATTTAGGAACCGAATTTTAGTCTACTAAATAACCCAGCTAGAGTAATGCGTTCACAACAAAGATACGTGACCCTTCCTGAATCATCTCGTTATGTAACTTTAAAACCAATCAGTCAGGTATGTATCCACTATCTGTAACAAATAATTTAATTTGAGATAACTTTGTTTTGCAATAACAGATTTTAAAGTGTTGCGTTACCCATAGATATTTTGTAATTAAATGTAATTTTTCTATAGCTAATTTTAAATTAGAACTTGTTTTTTCTTCAATAAACAAAGTATTAGTTATTAGTACTGTATTTTACAATTTCATCTTTCAAGGTTTAATTTATCAGGTAGCTCGTCAAGAAATGCCTTTCATTTTAAGTATGTAAAATCGTTTGTTGCAAATTTGTCGAATAAATCTAACTACTAATCCTCAGGTTATGTGGAAGAAACTACTTTTGAGAAATTCAGTTATAAATCGATTTTATAAGAATAAAGTCATAGCAAATACGTGATACCTCTTCTACGTTATAATTGTATTCTCAAATTTGTTCTTAGTCGTCTGTATCGTGTGCACATCCTTCTGCTGATGATTGTGTGACTGTTTGGCATGTTAAGAATATAGTCTACCTCTTTGTATTACTATATTATTTAGGGAAAAATAATTAAAGAAGAGAAGTATTTCTTTTCAGTTTGATTCTCATCCCTGCTTTAACAATAATAAACCTCATTAATTTGATCATCATAAAAGTTTGAAATGTCTTATTACACAATCTCTCATTTGCCGATGCCTTTTTTCTCCAGATTTTTATTCTGTTTTTGTTGATTAACTGTAACATTCTCCTTACGAATATGCGATATTGGTATTGATCTTATTATTATTATTAGTAGTATAAAGCCATGATGAAAAACAAATTGCAAAAGCGTATTTCTTCCCTCTATTTATCTTTTTATTGTTAAATATCACAATAAAAATAATTGTTGTTCATTTTATTCTTTCTAACTTTTTTTCTCTACTAAATATCAAGGTTAATTGTTAGTTTAAGTGATGTGTGGAGATCGTTGAATGTTTTTGTAATCATAAATCGAACTAGACTAAAAAAAACCCCAATGAAATCTAGTAATCATTAGACAACTGTTTCGTCATAGTGTGATACTTCTCATCATTGTTATTGGTTAGAGTGAAACAGTGAATAGAAAATTTTATTTAAATTCCAGTGGTTTATTCAGAAACTTATTGATTTGAATGTTATTATATGACCGATAATACTATCCATATCATTTTTGTTAGTTTTCCCAAAAAATATTTTGTCATATATTTTCCACATTAAACCATTCTCATGGATTGCTAAACTTTTTAGTGACTGAATTACTGATCCATCCTTTTTCATCAAATGATTCGTATATTTTCAGTTCATAATGCATAATATTTATGTTAGATTGGTTTATTTATTGTCGTGTGAGCTCGTGATTTAATTATCACTCACAGTGGAGCGGAAAGCTATCTTTTTGGTTTAAACACTCAACTATCAGCTACTAGACAACAGTCATGAACATCACTGTATATGATTTGGCTTCAACACCCAGGTAGTATCAGTAGTCTCCAGATTGAGATTTGTGTAGCCCAAAACCATGTACACAAACATGTACTTGTAGCAATTCACAGAAAATGAGCCGACTATTTTGTGAATTTAGATTATACATGTCTAATTTTTATGCTTTTTCCTTTATTGTAAAATAAGTATATAATTTATTTTGAAATCGTTCTTATATGTGTTGAACGTCCTTTAAAATTCAATTTTTATAATACATTTATAGGGTGGAATACTGATGGTGCAAGATAAGAGTCCTCAAGATGCAGAAGTTCTAGTTGAAAATGTACTTGGACATGGCCCTACCTTAGAACGATCAGGAGGCGGTGGAGGAACTGGGTCGTCTAGTGGTACAAGTAGCTCTGATCTTGCTGCAGCATTAGGCTCTGGATCTAATTCTAAAACAGAGCTTATTCATGCATCAACCATTGGAGCTTATCTTGACGAGGATGATGATGACGATGATGAGGAAGATGAAGATGACGATGAAGATTCTTCTAGTGATATGCATGAAGAAGATGAAGACGATGATGAAGAAGAGTTTGATGTAGCTGCAGCCACTGTTTCGACTGTTGAAATCGAAGAGTCTGACGATCACACTTCTAAAGGAGATATAGAAATGAGTGAAAGTAGTACAGAGGTGAAACGCGACAAAAGTCGTGGATCTACTTCAAGCCGTCGTGGCAGCAAATCACATGTATCAAGCCTTGAACCGAATCCACCAGAACCGTTTCTATACATAGAAGAAGGTACAACATCGCAAACAACAACATCTAGTATTGCGGGTAGCAGTAGTACTAGTAGTAAATCAGACTCCACTGTAGCTACAGACACCTCTTCTACTAATGCTAAACAGTCACCTCCAACTTCGTCCTCCGAACCAATGGATGTTATATTGGAAACTGATAAAGAAGCAGAAAAGAAATCAGATTCTGAATTGGATAGCAAGTCAAAAGACAATAATGACAAATAAATCGATAATTGGTTTCAACTTTATGTTCAGTGCCATGCAAACTCTTTTTCTTTGTTTTGTTACATTCTCTGGTATTACACTTCTGTGCGCATGGAAAATTCGAATGTATTTTTCTTTACTTGTTCATTTTTGACTCACTGAATGTGTCTATTTTTTGTCTGAAAACTGATGTATAAATGTATCAGTTTCGTTTCTCCCAATGAGAAAGAAATATGTACCGACGTTTCAAAAGTGTTAACTTAATCTGTATAGAAGCTTGAAAATAAGTTTTGTCTTCTTGTATTGGTTCTATTAGTAAATGTGGATTTATCTAGTCAATTTCTAGGATGTTAATTTCTGTACAAGAAATTTTTGATTACTATCATGCAATTACAACTTGTCTGATAGTTTAGACAGTTAACCTCTCAGATTACGGGTAAAAAAGTAGTAGAACTGTTCTCTATACTTTGATTATAACAGTTTGACTCGTATATATATAGGCTTTTCAGTATTGTTCTCAGATTAGTCAGTCACAACGTAGAACCTGTACGTATGTACTCCGGTCCAATTTGCCACATCCCATTATCACAGAGATGAAGTTTTCAGGCCTAATCCCAGAATAGTAGATGTAGTAACAGTATCAGTGGTAATAAGAAAGATTAAGCATCGAAGACAAGACTCGAGAAGAAAATATAAATAAGCGAAATAAAAACGAAAGTTATGGGAAACTTGGGATCTCAGAAATTGTAGGGAACCAAGGAATAGATGCACCTGCGCCATTGAAAATGATTTTGAGCCATCTCATTCAAAGTCTAACGATTGGTTACAATAATCACACAGACGCCGACACGGTAGTTTGTATCTATTAGCATAGTTAAGTCCAATCGACAATGACTTCATTCACATGTTTTGGTTTGACCACCCCTAGCTTTCTTGCAGCCTACTCTTGAAACAGAAAATATCGTCCGTTGAAGTAGGTGGTGGTTAGGCATATATAACACTTTTTCGGTACGCCTTTCAATGACACTGCCATAAAACTTCATGATCAACGGAGTCGAACGTCGCCTTAAAGCTAGTCGGACATCGAGAAGTATGTTTATGATCCAAAATCTGCTAAGGGTGAATATTTCGTCTATGCATCCACGTCTAGGTCTGAAACCAGTCTGGTTTTCTCGGGTTTGCTCTTCACTAGCTCTAGTTAGACGAAGTATTATTGAGGCTATATTTTAAACACCATATTACTTAAACTGACTCCTCTGTGATTGTCACAAGAGGATTTTTGTCCTTTCTTATAAACTCGGACGATCATCACTCGAGAACAGTCAGATGGGATTACGTTCAGTTATCAGATTTTAGCTAAGATTTCAGTTAATGTAACTGCTAAAACTGGGCCACCATGCTTAAAAATCTCAGGGGTTAGTTCGTCAGGCCCTGTTCCTATCCCTCGTTTTAGATTACTTACAGCATTTACAACCTCACTAAGAGTTGGAAGACTTACATGAATTGGCCATTCAGATTGCTTGGAGATAGTGGATAGCTGAAGTGTAGCTGGTGACCAGTTGGACTGTTCTCTAAAGTGTTTTGCCCATTAGTCCAATCACCTGGATCGAGGGTGAATAATAGTCCCATCATTTTCCTAGATAATTTCACTAATAGCCGACTTTTTAACGCCCATTTCCTTGGTAAGTCTGAACAGTTGTCTGCTGTTACCTATCGTTGTTGTCTTTTTCATCCCTTCTGCATTCGCTATCCAACATTGCTCGTAATCATTAGGCAGGCTTTTAATCAGCCTACATCTAAGCTGCCTCCGATCCTCGTGTTCAGAGTTAGACAGGATGAATTTCCGAGCATCTGTCAGCCCTGTAGACGTCGCTAAAATTCACTGATTATTCCTAACCTTTTGGTTTAGGTTACTACACCCTTTTAGATATCATACCAAGCTCCCTGAGGTGGATATCATCCTCAAGGTTGACTAGTTCCTTCTCTGGTTGTTCTTGAAATATATTTTCAAATTTTTTATCACTAACCTGGACTCTAACGGGCTTTCTTGATGTGATTTTTCTACTTCCCTTTTACCTGACGTTTATGCAGATGATGCTGTTCGGAACAACGATGAAGGCTCCACGACCAAACCATCCAGCTCAGAGAACAAAACTGCATCGAAATCATCCGCCTGAGCTAAAACTCTTCATCTTATTTTACTGTTATGTCCATACTTCAGCCTTGAATCTGTGTATTATCTACAGCGTGGAATTATTCAAATCGTACTCTCTTCCATTCGTGTGCTTCTGTTGATGATATTAGATAATTCTCGAAAAATAATGAGATTCAAATGTAGTTATTAACAAATTGATGATCACATACTAAGTATTACTTGTTCTAAAGCATTCGACTAGACTTTTACTTTGAGATTCTTATTAAAACCAATCTTAGGTGTATCTCTTAACAAACCATGTTGGAATGTACAATTTCATGGTTTAAACAAGTAATATGTGGTTGAAACTTCATCTACTGAAATTTCAGTTCAAACTGTGATTGTTTTGAATTTGTTAACTATTAACCGAATAACAAAAATTCAATAAAAATTCAGTGAATTCGTTTGTCTGTCTTGAACTGATAGTATTAGCGGATTCGCTTTAGTCTCCCAACCTTCAAGATTCAAATAGCAAGTTTCGGTTGATATTATCAAAAACAATTTCATTATCTACTTCAAATGGACGAAATATGATGGAAGTTTTATTTTTTTAACCTTCCAGAAAATATTCATTGTTGAATACACCAACGTGCAGTATTTTTTGGAGATCCTTGAACTCAGTGTTTTGTGCAAACTTTGTTCTTAGTCTACGTAGTATTATTTCGAAAAGACGAAAGTTTTTCTATACAAGTAGTGAAGCAGTTAAAAATCAATGTAGTGTAAAATCAATTTAATATTACGTTTGGCAGATTCTGTGCAGTTTTCATAAACATTGTGATGCTCTTTATTCAAAATTGAATATGTATTATGTAGTTAGTAGATGCCTGACTATAATTCATACTGTTCATTAGTACTTTATTCACCGCATTAATACAATGATTTCTTACAAACCAGATAAACGAATGATACTAGAATGCCTTCAGGATGCATCAGTTGATCGTTCCTTTTGTTGTATTTCATAATTGTACTACTACTTATTATTAAGTAGTATAAATTATGTTTTAACATTTTAAGTAAGTACTCCAGGACATCGTGTTACTTTGTCAATGAGGAACTACTAATCCATCCATGTCTTATTTCTACTTGATTATTATTATTATTATCGTTATTAATAATGGCTTTATTCAGTATTATATTTTCGGAACAATATGGAGTTCCCAACACAAAATGTTTCAACAAATTTCCGTTTCTTACTTCTTGCTTGATCCTGACAATAAATACTGAGTAATCACCAATTGGATGTTAGAGGTTCAGGAATGGACGTCTGAATAATATTCATTCCTTTCAATGCATACTTACAGCTACCACAGTATCTTTGATTGTGCTATTTTTATAACTTGTACAACAGGAATTCGTAAAATTTTCATAAACGCTCCGGAATAGGTTGTGCGATTAATAGACATAATGATGTGCTAAAACACACAAAAAGCAGATAACTTATTGAAATATCTAGATAGCAGGAACAGGTAGCTCTGATTTTCAAGTAAGTCGTCAATCTGACTCAGAATCTATTCCTATTTTATTGGTATAGTCTTCTCTGTGTAAGCTAATCTTCAAGAACTATGTTTATTCTTGTTGCCTTGGCAAATTTGGATGAATAATAGGGTTATAGCTCAACATCTAATCAACAGAGACCATATCGTCGACGTTCATAAATTATTCAACAATGTCAATAGATAAGAACATGCGACTTGTTTACGTTTCACCGAGGTAGTTCTCAATAAAATAGCAACTGAATCTACGTGTTCAGAAAGGGTCGTTCGTCAGTTTGTCACTATCAGTGAAATCATAATTTAGATTAGAATCTGATCCTATTATTATTATTATTACTATATGTTCTGTGATTATTACTATTGTCTTGTTACGCAATCTTTGCTTAGCTAAATGTTATTTCTGCTCAAAATTAATTTTCTAACCATCTATGATTTTTACTCAGTCAATCTTGAATTATTTCTCAATCCATCTTATTAAAAATCAAAATTCTAGATAACAATTTCAGATAATCGTCGGTATTTCGATTTTTCAATGACTAATGTTTACTACTTAATAGTATCTTATGCATATACGGTTGTAAGCAACTGAAACGAAACTACTCAATAAAATTAATTCATATTACTCTTCATCAGTTGTTGTACATGGGTTAAATTGTTAAAAGAAAAATGACTAATTACACAATTCTTATGTCATCATTGTTTGATAATCTGAAATATGAACACTATTTATGTAAAAGAATCAAATGATAAATAGGACTAATTGTTATTTATCAAAAGGTAAGTAAAAAGAGCTTTAATATGTCATTTGTAACTAGTTGTAATTTGATCAGACGAATGGCAAAAGTAGGAAGAGGGGCTGCAATAAATTATTGTGAATTCAGAGATCAAGTTTATCAAAATAGTTACCGATATCTTAAACTGTATGCAAATCTATGGTGCGTGCTACTTATATTGATATAAGTAGTATATGTCTGGCAGCAGAAGATGAGGGCAGATTAAGAAAGGAAGAGCGGGAACACAATGCAATTTGTAAGAAAACGCATCAACAATGAAATATGAGACAATGGATTGATGTTTGTAACAGGAACAGTCCAGGTTGATATGATAGATTGATATTTTGCAAATTAACGATTCGATATAGGTTTTTCTATTTTACCGAGTAACTCTGTAATTTTGTGCTAAATACATTCGATTGTCCCCACTGGTGTTCTTGTTCACTACAAATCAAGCCGCATATTAAGTAGAATCTGTTATATTATTCAAAAAGACTTGTTTAAATTTATTTGGTGTACTGTATCAATTACACTTAATATATTTTTCTTATCAGTGAACTACACCGTATCCGAAAAAAGTGATCAGATTCTGAAATCAGTTTACTTCTATTCTCAAATTTTGTTACAAGTTATGCGTCAAAAGCTGAATATATATTTGTTGTCAGGTTTCTTATAATAACTTAGATGCTGAATAGTTATTAGTTTCGATTATTTTATGAAAAAAGTGATCATTTTGTAGAAATTATTCATATTTATTTACTCTTATCTAGTGATTAAGAAAACTGAAGGGAATATAATGTACAATACAGAGTAATGGTAA